CCTGGCCAGGCCCGACTCTCCCCTTGGTGGGTTATCCCCCAACCCCCCAAAAGTCACTCTGGGTCCTTTCCGCCCCAACCGTGGTTGCAGGTCTCCCAGTCCTGTTGATTCATTGCCCCTCCCAACTCCTATTCCAAGGGGGGGTCACCAGCGTCGTCTGACCGCCAGCTAGCTTCCACTGCAACCGCCATTGCCGCCGCCACCGCACCATCGTCGCCAACCCCCGAAAGAGCCTGGTGACGTCCCAGAGATCTTCGGGGGGTGCCCGACACGTCTTGCAGCTCTTCGGGCAGCCTCCCTGTGCCTAAAAACTCGCCGCGCGGCGGGTGCCTCCGGCACAACGCCGCTCCAATTAACCGATGGCCTCCGGCTGTGAAAAAACGCTGCCGATGCCCAGCTGATCAGCCTGACGCTCCTGACATCGTGCCTTCCTCTCTGCTCAGTCACGGAGGGAAAGAAGACCCTCTCCGTGCTGGCAAGGAGCTCCCCTGACTGGTCCTGGGGTCATAGATCTTCAAAACGACCCCCAAAGGACCCAAAGGGTAGGTCGGCGCCCCGTCCTCAGATCGCGATCCCAGCGGACGCCGCCATCTTGGACATGCGCAAAAAAAAAGGTTAGTCTATGACAAGAAAGTAGATAAGGCTTTTAAAAGTCATATATTAAGAAATTCTCTATTGCGGGTCTGGAAAAAGTACAAATATAAATTAAGTGATAAGTTACCAATATGGACAGTACCCAGACACGCGATAGAGAATATAAACTTAGAGCAAAAGCAAGATAAGATTACATATAAGGAACTTCTTTATAAGGAAGGAGTCAGATTACAGTTAAAACCAATGGAGCAATTAAGAGAAGAAGGAATTATTAGGACATGGTTTCAGTATGGACAGCTGCAGGCCAGATGGAGAGAAGATCAAAAAATTGGTATTTTGCAGCAGGATGAGAATTTGATAAAGCAAACAAGAGATAAAGGTCAAATGCATATAAAAAGGTTGTATAATGCACTAGTGGAAATAGATTCAGAAACAGAGTTAGTCAAGGACTGTATGATAAAATGGGCACAAAACGTAGGTGAACCAATAATGATGGAAACATGGGAAAAGATATGGGTCAGAAATGTAAGATTTACACAAGCACAAAATTTAAGGGAGAATTTTTATAAAATGTTTTATAGATCGCATTTAGACCCAAAAAAATTAGCCTGTATGTATCCAAATTTACAACCTAAGTGTTGGCGATGTGAGTGTAAAGATGCTACATATTTTCATATATGGTGGACATGTAAAAAAATTAAGGCTTTTTGGATAAAAATATGGTGGATTATTCAAAACGTTTTAAAGAAAAAAATTAAATTTACACCACAGTTCTTTTTGTTGGGAATAGTCATGGATTGTACTGTAATAGAGACTAAGTTGGTTTTGAACTTAATAACGGCTGCCAGGTTACTGGTGGCACAGTACTGGAAGAAGGAAGATCCACCCACCATTGAGGAATGGACATTAAAAGTTGTGCATTTGGCAGAAATGGCAAAAATTTCATATCTTAAAGACCATTCAAATGAAAGATATATATCGGAATGGAGAAAATGGATCGATTATATACAGAAGAAGTATCCGAATAAGAAGATTCATATAGCATATGAATGAAGTAACTGAGTAGTTTATGTTTGTTTTTTGAATTATAAGGAGTTAAGGATCTAGGGAGAATATGAAATGTAACAATTTGTTAGCATATTCTAGCTTTTGATTTGTGAATGCTATATCCTGTGCTTGTTCTGGGAAGTCTAGGGAGGGGGTGGGGGGGAAGGAGGGAAAAGGGGGGTGGGAAAGGGGAGGGAGGGGTTGAGGGGGAAGGGTGGGGGATGAAAATGTTTGTACTTTCTATAAAACTTTTTAATAATAATAAAAAAAAGACCAGCTTGCTGGTGCGCATGCGCATGCCGGAAACCAGATCATCTTCCCAGTATGCACATGTGCACCGGATGGCTGCTCTTCCGGTTTACAGCGTGCACATGCAAACTGTCAGTTGGTTTCCACACGTGCATGTGCACCAGAAACCAGAAGGGCAGCCACCTGGCACACGCATCAGGGGGCTCCTCTTCTGGTTTCTGGCACACACAGGTGCGCGCCCATTTCTCCCAAAAAGGTTCACCAACACTGTCCTAGTAATCCATCAGGTTTCCCCATGTCTTAAACTCTTTAATTTCAATGATAATTCCATGTATTTGTAAGCCATTCTACTTAGCAATCTTCAAAAGTCTCAGAATTTATTCCTCCTTAGCAGTGAAGCAAATAGATATAGAACAGTATGCAAAAGGGCAGTCTTCCAGGTGTTGTTTGTGTCCACTCTGGATTATCAGTCCTCAGATTATTTCAGGGACATTCCCAGTCTTGTAAAAATATAATGTATATTCTTTCATCAGTAGATGGCACCATCGCCTAACATTTCAATGTTGCACCCAATGTGACAGCTGAAAATCTGTTCCAATTTTCTTCAAGCAATTTCTTCCAATAATCAACCAAATATTTCCAGCATTTTAAAATGCCTTTTCAAAATATTACCAATAGAATATTCAAGTCCAGTCTTCCTGTATTTTAAAAATTTTGTATTCTCCCTTAGGTTTCATTTTCTTTCAGGTCAGTAATCTTTCTCTAAGTATTTGTTACCCGCTTTTTTACCACTTTAAAGAGTCTATCTTTTTGGAATTTCTTTTCTTTGGGATTAGATCTCTAGTATAGAAGTTGAAAATCACCTCACCCAATTCCAGTACACTGTTCATGAACCGCTCCTGCACATTTCTTTCTTCAGTTGTTCCAGCTTCATGGTGGCCATAATGGCTGCATCTCCATTGTTGGCTGGGAGGGAGCCTCGGATCAAGCAAGAGAGCTGCTGCTCCGCAACCTGCAAGATGCCCCTCCTTTCTTTGTCACCCCTTCAGGGTGACTTTAGCCCTTTAAGGGCCCTCCAACGAGGAGGGTTCAGCCTAGGTTCATGTAGCCCCGCTCTCTACAACTGTTCCGCAGTGATGCCAAACCAGAAGTCAGAAAATGAATTCTTTATATAGTATAGAACTTAGGGATTTATTTCTAGTCTGTTCTTTATTCTGTTACTCACATGCTTTTTCTGTTTTTTGTATATTCATTTATTAAAAACAATTTATCCTGTTTCTATATTAATCTTTTAAAAAATTCACATATTCTACATATATATATGCATTTTGAAAATATTTTCTCCCAAAATATAGTGTCTGAAAATACTCAGCATGCTTTACTGTAGGATATTAATTTAGCATTTTAAAAATACTTTGAAAAAAAATGCACTATGAAATACAGGGAAGCTAAATGTCTGTGGAAATTTTCAGTCATCCAGTTCCTCTTGAGAAAAGCATCTTTGGGACAACCATGACCTGGATGACTGAGAATCTCCATAGATAACCAATCAGATATTGCAGCACATGTCTTTAATGTAGAAACTGAGGTTATGTCAGTCTGAGTCAGCATGCAACCAAATCTAATTCAATAAGTATGCCTAGTTGGGATAAAAAGTTCAATACTGTCACACTGGTTAACATACATTAACTTCTGTTATGCTATCCAATCTTAATTAGATATTGGCTGTGCTGGAATATGATAGTTATGTTTTCACTAGTTTACAAGATTCAGAAATAATTGGCTTTTCCTTAACATATAAGGAAATCATTCTTTCTGTCAGTGTAACAGAATCTACTTGGAAAATAATGTCTTGGCACCTTGATATTTGCAGAACTCTCTTCTTCTACTGAACCAACATATACTCTTGACAAGGCAAGTTGTTTCCCAATTTCATAATGTGAAGAAGGACAAAACTAGAAGGCCTACTTCTTTTGTATAATCCTAATTTCATGGAACAGCCTCCATTAAATCCACAATTAGTTTCTCTTTCAGATCTTTCTAGTATATGACATCCAGAAAGCAGATTGCACAACAGATGCAGCGATTCATAACCCACATTTGAACTGCATGGCACATTTGATACCAGAGTATGATCTTCAAGCTCAGTCTTGCTCCTAAGGGGAGATATTTTATGAGTCCACAAGGCAAGAGCTCAGATCAATGGTCCACACAATGCTCTATACACTCAGAAATTAGATGTAGGGTGCGTCATTATAGGATATATCTGTCCAGGCAGCATACACAAACGAACCTCTATTAACAACATGCTCACAATCCCATTAGAGAATAGACATTCTTCTATTTTTCAGCCAAGCCACAACCAATTCCTCTTAAAGGAATCACTGCACATTACCCATTTGCCTTGTCCCTTCATAGGCCCCTTTAGTGACAACCTCACCTGTGACAGTGACCAAGGTCATTTAAGGTGCACAGTCTTCCAAAAGATGGAAGATGACAATCGGGTGGCAATAACTACTGACAACAAACTCCCTTTAGAAATGACCAAGCAGGGATTAGTCAAAGAAGATACTGACAACCAGGTCACCCCTCTTGCCTTCATATCACAGAGGCAATGCCTAACAATAAAGAACAAGCTGTAGCCTGCTCCTTGTCACAGCCTCCATCTATGCCACTCATACCTCAGAACCTGTGGACAACACCATAGCTCAAATGGCGCAGCAGCCTAAAACCACACCACAAACATCAGCAAGGTTCAAAAAGCAATTGAACCAATCTTCTGCAATGTATTCCATAGTATCTGTTCAACCGAATGGTGCTGGATATACATCAGATGACCTCAGCAATTCTAAGGGAGAAGCTAGCAATAGGATGTTATATTCCAGATTTAGATCACTGTCAAGTTCCCAGAAGTCTCATTGGAAACTGCAGTAACCCTAACCCTAACCCTAAGCACTCCGTGGGCTGGATCTGGCTCACAGGTCTTGAGTTCGATAACCCTGAATTAGAGTTTTATATAATAAGTAGGAATTAAGCTGGCTGTTAGGGCTAGAAAAAACTGTTTTAAGCATGCATACAAAACAAGAAAAGTTGTTTCTCTTCTCCTTCAGCATATCCAGAATGGGTGGAACATATTAATGATACCGAAAGAGATATTGGCAGTGAATTCCATTGGCCATGTATAGCTGCAGGCAAGCCTATTCCAACAATCCGGTGGCTGAGAAATGGATTACCGGTAGGCTTAACTTATTTATGAATCACAAAATACTATCTTTAATGGTTAAAAAGCAAGAATAAATTGATACAGTTCTTTTGTTAAATAATGTCCAAGTGAAATAAGTTTCCAGAAATGAACTTTTACACCATAAATGTTTTAGAAACACATGTATTTCTATTTAATTTATTTTTGAAACCATCTTATTTTTCTGTGAAAATGTTGTAAGTGTTTGTAAAACTCTTTATTATAGCTTTCTATGGCAGAACTATGGAGAACGTAGTTATTAAGATGAAGACCATGGTGAATTCTGCTTGTTTTGCCTAATTCCATTCATCCTGGGCAGAAGCTTACACAAAAATTAAAACATTCATACTTGATTTTGTTTAACAAACTTATTATTTTGTAAATTATGTAATTGGAAAGGGAGGGAATAAGATTCTCTTCCCGTGTGCAAAGTTTCTCCATCTTGATTAGGTTACTATGCTGGCTGTGGTGGAAACTGCAGACTATTAAGATGTATATCATAAATTGGCCAAGAAAAAATGTCTTAAATAGACATTGGATTCTCCCTTAATTCTCAGAATTGGAAAAACAAATAAAAGAAACATGGAAATGTTCACTGTAGTGTTATTAAAGCTATCAGATCTGCCTTTCTTAGCTTAGGGGGGCGGGGGCTTTGCTCACAGGCATTCTGCCATAAAAAGAAGGAGGGGAAGGATAAAAGGGGGTGGAAGGATGAAAGAGGGAAGGATGAAAGGGCAATAAAGCTGTGTGTGCATGTGATAGAAAATCAGGAGGGGGCAATGACAGATGAGAAGGACCAGAGCAGCCAGATCCTGTTTGTACCAGCATCCCATGGCCAGACACCCTGAGAAATATGTGGATTACTCCACAAACACCTCAGAGTTCTCAAAACATCTTGGCCAAGCTCCAGTTGGCTGGAAACAGATTGGTCACGGGAGGGAGGAGGGAGGTGGGGAAACCTATGCCTTATTTTTGTATCTAGTGAGAGCGGTACTTTCAAAGCTGACTTGACTTTATTGCAACAACCACTCTTAGTAAAAGAACACTTTGCTTTAACCAAATGTAGTTGAAGACTTTTCTTTTCCAAGGGATTGGATTGGGGCATGTCTGATATTAAGCCAGCTCTGCAGTTGTGGTCAACCCAGAGAGGAAACCGCCTCTACTATGGGAAGTGTGCAAAATATGTCGGCTCAAGAGAGCGACCAGGAAGGGATCAAGGCCTGGGGGGAAGCATGCTTGAAACCCCCTCCTGAAGGGCTGGATCTATCCAGATGGCTGGGAGAGGACAACCCACCAAGACCTGGATGATCCCTCTGAGTCAGGAAAAAGGAAGAATGGGAAGAGAAACCGATGGGAGTGACATTCACATGTGCAGACCATGGCAGCTACCAGTGAGTGGAGTTGGAGGAACTGGAGGAACATTCAGGCAAAGGCAAGTCAGGAGTGAGAGGACTGGATGCTGGAGCAGGTCATAAATTTCATGAGGGGGACTTTTGGTAGTCTCAAAGCTTGAGAAGCCCTAGCCTGGGTAGCACATCCTGCTGATCAGCCAACTCCAGCAACAGCAAGCGAGGGGGCAACTACTTCTGCCTCAGCAATGATGGCAGCAGCAAGCCCGCTGGCAACTGCAACTGCCCCAGCACCTGGCCCTGCAGCCAGCCTGCACCAGCTGGAGGACACAACCAGCAGGTGGAGAAGATGCAAGACACCAGCCTTGGGAGTAAAGTTCACTGGAAACTCTAAGCAATTGGGATTCTTCCTGGCACAAGTTTGGACAATCATGCAAGAGTATGTCCAGAAATAGTCACCAAAGGGACTAAGGTGTGGTGCATGATTGTGGTATTAGAGAAGGCCACAGCTGAATGGATGGTCACCCTCCACAATGATGATCTCCCTGAGCTCAAAAACTTTGACTGCTTCATGGTGGCACTTTGAAGATCCTCTAGCCGACCGCAAAGCCAGAGATCGCATAAAAACAATCAGCCAAAGTCGCAGAGGAGTGGCTGAGTACATCCAGGAGTTTTGCGACCTGGCCTGTCCTACTGGCCAGAAGACATCGATTGGATGCTTCTGAGATAGGCTAAGGGACGAGGTCTACAACATCTGCATTTCCGAAGTGCCCCACCTCCTCCATGGCTGGTATGTTCTAGCAGAGGAAGTGGAAATTGACCTGGCCTGATCCAAATATCAGCCAAGCCGTAGATGGAAAAGATCCCCCCCTGAAAAAAAAAGAGCCCCCAAAACCGGCACCATGTGAATAGAGTGTCAAGGTTCTGACTAGTGAACCCAAATGAGTCAGCACTCTTTCAGCTTCCTCAAAGAACTGCTTTATTGAGTACATCATTTTAGCATGAATGATTTAAGACCAGCTCTGGCCGTTTCCTGAGCTTTCAATATAATTAAAGATTAGACAGCTCCCTCCCTCCTTGTCATTGGTCACATTGTCCAGTTAGGTATTCTGGCATCTCCTTCCAGTCTTTGGCAGCACCTGTTGGGATGATCTTGGTTCCCACAAGATAATAAGTTGTTGATATCTGGTCTGACATTCCAAAGTGTATCAAGCTGAGAAATGGCTGCGATGGGTCTAATCTATTTCAAAGTTGACAGTTGGATCCCCCTAAAGAATAAGAAGTACCTGGAAAACATCAAGCACATGTACACATTAGCAGTGGCTGACTTGGTGGAGGACCTCCTGGTTTTGGGGGGTACTGCTTGTGAAACTTTTTTTTATTAAATGGTCCGCTTTCATATCCCTTGCCTTCACCCATCTAGCCTCTGCTAGTGGATATCATTTCCATTGGACCAGATATTGAAGTTTACCTTTCTGTAGCCTGGAATCCAGGACCCTCTTGATTTTGTAGTGGGTTTCCCTGTCCACAGCTATTGGAGCTGGAGCTAACCTTGCTAGTGGCTTTAGTTCTGACCCTACCACCAACTTCAGCAGACTACAATGGAACACTGGGTGCGTTTTCCCCAACAAACGAGGCAGTCTCAATTCTACTGTCACTGTCAATTATTTTTACCATTGGGAAAGGTCCTATGAACTTTGGACCCAGCTTCATACCGGGTAGTTACAATTTCAGGAATTTTGTGGTGAAGTAGACCTTCTCCCCAATGGGAAATGGCCTCTGGGGTTACCATCACTTATCTCATTGTGCCTTCTGCATTTCTGTTGCTTTAACTAATGCCTGTTTTACATTCCCCGATGCATTTTGTAAGGAACCACCCATTCCATTAGGCTCACTGAGGAGGGGGGTTCCTGAGGGTATTCCGGCATGGGGACAAATTCCACCCCTATGGCTATTTTAAAGTGGGTGAGTACTATGCACGGTATTATTGTAGGCAACCTCAGCAAATGGCAGGAGATCTGCCCAGTTAGATTGCTGATAGTTAACATAGCAGCTCAGATATTGTTCTATCATTGCGTTAGCACATTCCACCGCTCCGTTTGTACTCGGATAAAAGGCGGAACTAAACCCTGATTACAGACTAACTGAGTTGGAAGGGACCTTGTAGGTCATCTAGTCCAACCCCTCCCCCGCCCAAGCAGGAGACCCTACACCATTTCTGACAAATGGCAGTCCAATCTCTTCTTCAAAGCTTCCAGTTATGAAGCTCCCACAACTTCCGAAGGCAAGTTACCATTGGTTGATTGTTCTCACTGTCAGAAAATTTCTCCTTATTTCTAGGTTGAATTTCTCCTTGATAAGTTTCCATCTGTTATTCCTTGTCTGGCATTCAGGTGCCTTTGAAAATAGCTTGACCGCTTCCTCTCTGTGGCAGCCCCTCAAATATTGGAACACTGCTATCATGTCTGCCCAGGTCCTTCTCTTCCCTAGACTAGCCATGCCCAGTTCCTGTAACTGTTCTTCATATGTTTTACTTTCCAGTCCTATAATCATCATGGTTGCTCTTCTCTGCACTGTTTCTAAAGTCTCAACATCTTTTTGTGACCAAAACTGGATGCAGTATTCAATGTGTGGACTTACTAATGCTTTATAGAGTGGTATTAGTATCTCCACAAGCTTGTGTAAACAAGGCATTAGGAACTCTAGCTGACCAAATTATGGAGGCTGAAGCCAAATACCCAGATTCACTGGCCATTATTCTGGGAGACTTAAACAAAGCAAACTTAAAGAAAGAGCTTCCAAAATATTTTCAGCATGTCAATTGTCCCATTAGAGGCAAGAATACTTTAGACCATTGCTACACAACTCTAAAATCCGGATCGGATTGGACTCTGACTGGGCAGAATCCAATCTGGAGACTAAGGTGGGTCTTGAAAATAATATCTGGATTGAGTTTGACCCTGTTTCTGTCAAGGAAGTGGACAGGATTGTGGGCAAACTTAGTTCCTCCACTTGCTTATTGGACCCTTGTCCCTCCTGGTTGATTTTGGCTGCCAGGGAGGTGACTAGAGACTGGATCCAGGCAATTGTCAACGCTTCGTTGAGAGAGGGGAACTTCCCCGCCTCTCTTAAGGAGGCGGTGGTTCGACCTCTCCTCAAGAAGCCTTCCCTGGATCCAGACTCACTTAATAACTATCTGGATCCGTTCCAGTCTGGTTTCAGGCCTGGGCACAGCACGGAAACGGCATTGGTCGCATTGGTTGATGATCTCTGGAGGGCTCGGGACAGGGGTTGCTCCTCTGTTCTGGTCCTGTTAGACCTCTCAGCGACTTTTGATACCATCGACCATGGTATCATGCTGCACCGGTTGGAAGAGTTGGAGATGGGGGGCACCGTGTTACGGTGGTTCTCCTTTCTCTCCGACCGGTCGCAGTTCGTGTTGGCAGGGGGGCAGAGGTCGACCTCGAGGCCTCTTATATGTGGAGTGCCTCAGGGGTTGGTCCTCTCGCCCCTCCTGTTCAACATTTATGTGAAGCCGCTGGGCGAGATCATCCATGGCTTTGGGGTGAGATACCATCAGTACGCTGATGATACTCAGCTGTACATCTCCACCCCAGGCCACCCCAACGATGCTCTTGAAGTGAT